TTTAAACTTTGAACTTTTCCTGGTTGAATTTGAACTTTACCGCGATGGAAGTGACCCCGGCAGAATTCAGCTGCAGCGGCGTCCCAGAGCTCCGTTAACCATCAGTTTGCCTTGTCAAAAAAAAAAAAAAAACCATCAGTTTGCTGTTTGCAGAGGATTCCACAGTTCATATTCACCCCCGTTCAGGTCAAGAGTTTAGCAGTGTATTATATTCCTGCTCCCATCTTTGCAGCAGAGGGAGAATGTGCCTGCATGTGCCGTCTAGTTGCCTCTCCACACTGACCACACCTACGGCCTGTTCGCTCGGTCGTAAACGATCGTAAATTTTTAACCAGAACAATATTTTTCTCTTACACCAAACCAGCCATCAGTAATAATCCACGATTGTATACAATCGTATCAGTACCAGCCGAACATGCTGCTAGTCGTGCTATGCACCTCTGTATCCACCACAACCACCTTCACTGACAAACCTCAATTATGCAATGTTTGCACCTGCAGTCAAACATACTCTGATAATGTACTCCACAAAGGGAGTGTAAATAAATAAATAAAAAGTGAAGCTAAAAGATGAAGAAAAGGATCAGTTCGCAGTCGTCCTACTTACAACATGTTCGTTTCGTCGTAAACGATCGTGGATTATTTATTGTTGGCTGATTTGGTGTGAGAGAAAAATACTGTTCTAGCTTATAATCCATGATCGTATACGAGAAAGCGAACATGCTGCTAGTCACCAACGATTACTACTAACAGTAATCAGTCAGGTTAGATTTAAACCTGGGTCGATGATGGCAAGCAGGCGAGGGGGCACGCATGCCATCCCTCCATCAGAAAAGGCGAGAGCAAGCATGCCGATACGGCATCAAAGTGCCCTCCTAGCTGGTACATCCATTCATTTGAGGCCATGAAAAGCAGTGTAGTCACTCTTAAAAGAACATGGAATGGAGGACAGTAGGATGGCACTGGAGCCCAAACAATTGATCGATTCCCCGAGATCTCATTTCAGCCCAGTTCGGCTGCTCATGTAAGCCGGCTCGTGGATACAGTATTTTTCTCTCCTATCCAATTAGACGTATAAATCAGTACAAACCGCTCATAGAGGAGCCGGCCGTCTCATCTCGTGCAGCTAGCACTGCAATCCGCCGTGGGCGCGCTGCAATGCAAGCATCGCATCAGAAGCAGAGAGAGCTCCACAGCTGGCAGCAGCGACCACCATTGCGTCTCCCACTGATGACTCAGATATCTTTTTCGCCCACACCCTGTGGCCCGGCCGTGTGCAGTGCAAAAAGGCACCACACCGGTGGCCCTCATCACCAGTCTTGCGGCTGTGGCCTCACTGTGTGGCCCTCAACCAGACCACCTTTTTGAACGAACGCAACGCAGTGCACTGTAGTGGCTTGTGTGAGTGTGTTCGGTAGGTGCAAGAGAGATGCCAAAAGATTAGGATGCTTGCTGCTTGTGCTTGGTGTTGGTAGCAATAGCAAGTTAGCAAGCAGCATCATGAATGGGGGAGAGTACACTACTGAAGAATTCAAGGCAATCTTTGAGCCTTTGACGACTACGCCCTGGTGTAGTTTCCACCTCAAAATTTTACACCTTGTCACATCGAATGCTAAGATACATATTTAGAGTATTAAATATAGATTAAAAAATAATTAATTACATAGATAACAACTAATTTGCGAGACAAATCTTTTAAGCCTAATTAGTCCATGATTCGACAATAAAGTGCTACAGTATACATATGCTAATGATATAATAATTAGGCTTAATAAATTCATCTCGCGGTTTACTGACGGATTCCGTAATTTGCTTTTTATTAGTATCTGAACACTCCATACAACACCCTCACGTGACGCTTGATATGACATCCAAAACTTTATACCAGGAAGTAAACGAGGCCTACCTATGGCGCTTTGCTCTACACACACTAGCTAGCAGTTGCAGTGGACCTGACCCTGCTGCCTGCTTCACTCATAACACCTGCCTCTCTTGTTGCATTGTAGTTTTCATCAGATGCAGTGAGATGAGATCCATTCATCCAAGGAGGATCATCATAAAATGTACTCCCTCTATCTCTAAATATTTATCGTTTTCATTTTTCGAAAATAACTATGACTAAATATATATTAAAAATATTAATATTTATGGTACATAATTAGTATCATTGGAAAGATATTTGAATCTAGTTTTTTAATAAATTTATTTAGAGATAAAAATGCTGCATGCATTTTCTATAAATTGAGTAAAACTTATGGCACGTACACCAACGGCGATAGTTATCTGGGGACGGAGGAAATAGGCCATGGTACTGCAGTGATCGATCGATATCTTTGTTGTGAGATTGAGACATGGGTGTTATGATCCTTGTGGAAGCACAGTGCGTGCAGGAACTTTGAGCAGGCCAGACAGCCCATCCAGCCAGGGAGTGAAGCAACAGGACAGGACCAGGGAGGGGGGACTGACTGTGAAGTGGAGTAATGTCTGTGGAGGTTGCTGCTAGCTATGATGCCATTACGTGCCATATAATGGCTTTTGCTGCCTTTGTTTTTGGGCCAGTTTGGTTGCCGAATTTTTTTTGGCAAAATAACACTGTAGCGTTTTCGTTGTTATTTGGCAATTAGTATCCAATCATAGTCTAATTAGGCTTAAAAGATTCGTCTCATGGATTTCGTCTAAACTGTGTAATTAGTTTTATTTTTTATTTATATTTAATGCTTCGTGCATGTGTCCAAAAATTCAATGTGACGAGGAATCTTGAAAAATTTGCATTTGTTGAGAGAAAAGGAGGAAAAGTGAGATCAAAGAATGCCGAAAGAGAATGAACTTGCTTTGGGCAGCATGTGCGGATTGTACTAGGTGTGCCTTATACAGGGGTACTCCGTATGTGTGATGTCTAAAGCTGCTTCATTATTGAGACAAGTAGTGTGTACCAGCTCAACAGATTGCAATATAGGTACACTACTGTAAATTAAGTTGACTGCCAACTAACACCAACTAGTGGTGAACCGAACACGAACAAGCTTCATATATGGGCGTGTAAAATGTGAAATGTAACACCAATGGCAGATATGAGAAATATGGACGTGTAAAATGTGAAATGTAATAACACCAATGGCCGCTATCAGAAATTTATATGTTTATTAGGGGATCATTTTTAATGCTGAAAAATGAGGGCAACATAGATGCAAATGTATACGTAGTTGATTTAGATGTATGTTTAAGAGTTATTTTATATTATTTTTTATAAGCTCTTTTTTATAATAGCAAAAGTGGCTAGTTTCTTTAGAAATTTAGTTGATTTAGTTTATTTTGAGCACTGTTGTCAGTTCCATAAGTTAACTGGATGCTCAAATGTTCTTCAATTTTTCTTTAAAAATAGAGAGAATATGATTTCTATTTTTCTTGCTCCAAAAGCTCCATCGAAAAGGCTGATACAGCCACTGAAAGAGAGGAATGGATCCGTCCCTTGGATTTGGTTGGGCATGCAGGAAAGCAAGTGACGTATGACGAGCAAAGCCTGCAACTGCAAGGTCTCCACTCTCATCCGCGACTAGGTCGATCAGAGATCAGATGTGAATCAGCTGTTCGTTTGGCTATGGCTTGTCGTAAACGATCGTAAATTTCTAGCCGGAACAGTGTTTTTCTCTCACACAAACCAGCCAGCGGTACTTCTTCACGAACCAACAACAAAACGAATCAGCCAACCGAACAGGCTGATGTGTGTGATCTGAAGTCCTGAGCTTCATTCCCTGTTGAAGAACGAAGAGGCCCAAAGCGCAGAGATACTGGAGAACCAAGAGGGAGCATGCGGTTTGGAGCATGATATGATCGCACTGGCACTGCACGCACCAGATGGTCGATCGATGACCGAACGAACGAATGGACGAACTCCACTGTGGTGCCTTTAAAATTCCCTCCCCTGGCACATGGCCGCCACCACGCCCTGCCTCTTCTCTTTAGTCCTCTCTCTGTTTTTCCACTGCAGCGAAAGCAAAGCAACGCAAAAGAAAAGTCAGGCAAGGCACGACCACCTTCTCTCTCTCTCCTCCCGCGGTGGTGGCCGTGGTGCAATGCACAAGCACAACACACACTCTCTCTCATCTGGTTCCTTTCTTTTTTTATTCGCTCGTGCCCTGACGAAGCTTATCAGCCGGCTTATCGAATCTACAGTTCAGCCGGCTGATTAATCGACTTTAATTGCAGCCGAACGAGCCCACAGTTGTGCGACTGCGCGAGGCCACACTCTATCCAGCCCCACTGTCTCCTCACCGGCAGGCCCCGACCCCGACCCTCTTGATGACGATGACGATACAGCAGAGACAGAGGTCTAGAGAGAGAAGCGGTGACGCGTCGCCCACACCCCACCTCCCTTCTGCTCTCTATCTCTAGACAGAGGCCGAGGAATGTGGAGAGGGAGACAGCTGCAGGAGATAAAATCGAAACAAAACCATCCATCCGCGCATGGAGAGTTGCAATTGCAAATGCAAAGGACGGGGTGGGGGTGGGGGTCCTCGGAAAAAGTGCGGCCGGGGAGCCTATCGAGCTGAGGTCGCTCACACAAATTTCCGGCCTCAAACAGCCAAGCAAGCGGCAGAGAGAGTGAACAAATTTCCGCGGCAGAGAGAGTGAACAAATTTCCGCGTTCGAATCCATCCTCATCAATTCGGCATTTCTTCCCCCAGCCTACCAACCAACTATAGCGCACACAGCACGGAGAGTGTCTTGAACTCGGAGTCGGAGAGAGCTCCACCTCCTTCCCCCACGCTACGCGGCTGTATTTATAGCGAGCGTCCTGGCCTCTCTCTTCGCCTGCTCGCTCCTGGGGAGGGAAGAAGAGGACAAGCAAACCAATGCGCGAGCATACCGACAGCTCCAGAGGAGGAAGGAGAAGAAGAGGTGGGATACAGACAACGAGGAGAACGACGAGCGCCGGCCGCGACCGCGACACCGCCACCACCTCCACCTCGTGCTACAAAGCAATAATCCGAGGTCGGCCCATGGCTGCTGCTTCTTCTAGTAGTTGTAGCCGCGGCCGAGTCCTCCCAATCATTGCCTCCCTTGTCCCCTTCCTGCTCCTCCTCGTCGTCGTCTCGTGCCCGGCCGCCCTGGCCTCCGCGACGCACGGACACGGCGGCGGCAGGAAGCATGCCGCCGCCGCAGCCGCGCGGGCGCACGAGGCGGTCTTCCGTGCCCGGGACGAGCGGGAGGCGTACAGGAGGATCATGGCGCGCATGGCCAGGATGGCCAAGGATTCCAACATGACAATCCAGGTTACTTCCTTCCCATCTTGTAATCCATTCCTATCCTACCTACTCCTTTGTCGCTGTGCGCGCTGCCGGCTCCGGCCAAGCAACCAAATCCACCTCTCTGTCGTTTATTCTAGCTGTGGGAATGATCGATCTCGGGCCGTCGTGTCGTGCGTGACTCGTGCGTGCGCGCGCTGTGTGCAGAGCCCCGACGGCGACGTCATCCACTGCGTGCCGGCGGACCTGCAGCCGGCGTTCGACCACCCAATGCTCAGAGGCCAGAAGCCCGAGGTGAGCCGGCCAAATCTTGCTCTACCAAGCTCACCCAGCATCATCGCGCATTTCTACATCTGTTCCGAGTTGTTCCTCGGACGGCCGGAGTCCTGTACTAACGTGCATGTGTATTGCTGCCATGCCAGGACGAGCCCGTGGAGAGGCCCGTACCCAAGGGCGGCGGCGGCGGCGGCGCTGCCGATGAAGAGGACGAGGAGGAGGAGGCCGGCGTGTTCCCGCAGGCGTGGAGCGACGGCGGCAAGCGGTGCCCGGAGGGACGGTGCCGATACGGCGGACGACGAAGCGCGACATGCTGCGGGCCAGCACAGCCCGCCGGTTCGGGATGAAGGCCCGGGCCAGCAACGCCCGCCGCGACTCCACCAGCAGCGGCCACGAGGTCAGTCTCAGTCAGTCACTCACCTTCGCCTCGCCGCCGCGGCGTCCCGCCATTTCCGTTGGGTATTTTAGAAGAGGCCTCATTTTAGAACGCATCACGTCTTGAAAAGACCTTGTCACGTCCGGACAGTGATTAAGTACTGTTGCTGCCTGCTGGTGCTGCATTAAAGCTGGATTAGTTGGGGAAAACACCGGTATTAGTGGGAGTAACTGCCGCGATTTATTACGCAACCAAATGGTGCTCCATCCTGCCTCAGGTTTTGTCGACCATGCACGCAGCCGGTGGTGCAGTGCAGCAGTAGGCTGGCGCCACCGGCTGGCTGGCGCACAGCACAGTACATTGATTGTACTGTGCATGGTGGTGACTGCAGTGTGCAGCCATGGCAGAAGCAGTGTGGAGCAACGTCTAGCTACGCACTCACGTACCACTCTAAACCTCGATCGAGATCGGCTCTGATAGATGGCCATATTTTGCTTGCTTGCATGGCTGGGGCGGCGGCACGGCGACGGCGACGACGGCGCAGCACGCGGTGGGGTACGTGACGGGGGACCAATTCTACGGCGCCAAGGCCAGCCTGAACGTGTGGTCCGCCAAGGTGGCGTCGGCGGCGGAGTTCAGCCTCTCCCAGATCTGGGTCATCTCCGGCTCCTTCGGCAACGACCTCAACACCATCGAGGCCGGATGGCAGGTACTGTAACCAACCGCCCTTATTACTGCCGTATGTACATGCATTGCATCATGTACTCACCATCACGGCATCACTTAACAACCTTCTTCCAAGTACAGATGCGCCCTAGCTACCTACTAGCAAATCCATGTACGTAGTGTTTGTTCCTAGCAGGAGTATGCATGAACATTTGTGTTTCTTCAGGTTTCAGTATTTCTCCTCTGAAGAATGAAATGGGCCATGGAAATTGTGCAGAACAGCACAAGACATGCCGCATGCGTTTAACCTGGCAGTAGATATATAGGTATGGTTGAGGGAAGAAATTAGTGCTACTGCCTAGCCAGCTGCTGCCGGCGCTGCTAGACGGGCCATTGCCGCGTCCGGATTGTCTTCTCCAGAGATATATAAAGGCCTTGCTTGTTCCTGCAGTGCTCCCGCGTCAGTCCTCAAACTGAAAAAGTCCCTGCGTCTGTCTTGCGAGTAATGGGAACCTGACTCGCAGTGACTCTTCAGGCTGCCCGGTTGGTGACACCAGTAAATGTGGGTGCCTGCCTATGATCAGCCAGGCCAGGCATGCAGATGTGTGAATGAAACTTTGCAGGTCCTCTTCATGCTTGATTTTCACCAACACTTTCTGGTGTTCTTATAGTACTGTATCTATCTATCTACTATCTATCGCTGAGCCAGAGCATTTGAAGTTTTGAACTGAAAGACACCATACATCAGGGTTTTTTTTTTTTGTGTGTTAATCTGAAACTGAAACCACTTTCTTCTAGTCCTAGCCAGCAACATGGTATTTAGGTGAGTGAGAACTAGTCTTGTGCTAGAGCTTAGTTGACTGTTCGGCTATCATTATAAACCGGCTTATCAGTTATGGTACAATATTTTTCTCTCTCAACAAATTAGCCGTACAAATCAGCACGAGCGGCTTATATACCAGCCGTCAAACTTTCCACACTAAACTATTTTGACCTTGCTTCTAGTTGCCACCAATCATGGGCGGAGCCTTGTGGAGGCCAAACTGGGCTCCGACCCCCCCTTGTCCGAGACAACTTTGCAGTAGTATATGCTTGGTTGGCCAGTGAAACCATCTGAACTGCAAGACTAATTGACTGAAAAGCTGTTACATCTCTGCATCTGCATGAAACCTGCACAGGAGCAGTGGCAGGACTGACCTCATCTAGCATCTACGGCAGGACTGAGCAGCGACAGTTCAACTGTGTGATTGATGAATTTTCTAATCATCTTTCCTCTCTAGTTTGGCCTGAGATGCCCTCCTATATTAGCACCAAATTTTAGTTTCTATTATATGACTACATTCGTAATGGTTCCGTCATTAGAAATTGTACTATAAGTCTACTACTTTCTCACTAATCTAACATCTACTGTTTCTGATAAATATGTAATGGTAATTTGCACCCCGCCACCACTGCCACCAATAGTGGTGTGTGTTTTTGAACTGAAAGATCTAAGATATGGAATGATAGTTGGATCCTTTCTCCGCAGCATGCATATGCATGTGGCTGTATGTTGACTTTGGTAGTACATCACTGTGATCTCGATTGGAAATGTGTGCCCATTGACTTGAAATGCTGTTGGTTCCAGTTCCACAGCATGCTAGCTTGGGTCAGGCAAACAGATTCTGCTGGAGACAGTGCTAACTTCCTGCTTCCATTGTTTACTCAGGTGAGCCCTGAACTGTATGGAGATAGCAACCTGAGGTTCTTCACATACTGGACGGTAAGTTCCTGAAATCTACTCTATATACCAACGTTACATATAGTATATTACTTATGCATTGAAACTGTGCAAAGCATCAAGAGCGCTAATGCATGCTGCCACACCTCTGGTGCCTTGCTCTTGCTCCTTCTAATATACTCGTCCACATTGTGGCTTTAAGAAAAAAAATAACTGAAGTTCAAACAAATGCCTTGCTAAATCTGTTTTATATTCAGCTGAACAAATGCGTTCTTGCAGTTTTTCTTTTACTAAAGTGATGTACATGTACAGCAGTATCACATTTTATCAAGTACTAGCTTCGCTAGTAAACGTTATATATAGTTTCAGAGCTCATCAGCAAACTTACATTGAGTGACATATTCATCAAATGGAGGAACTAATAGTCCTAGAGCACATCGCTGATGAATGATGCATCATCTTTGTCTGGCAGACCGATGCATACCAGGAGACTGGATGCTACAACCTGCACTGCTCCGGCTTCGTCCAGACCAACAACCGGATCGCCATTGGAGCTGCCATCTCGCCGACCTCGGTTTACAACGGTCGGCAATTTGACATCAGCCTGCTCATATGGAAGGTATATCTTTTACAAGGCCATAGTCCAGAACGATGCCAACACACGTACTAGCTAGAAACTAACGCATGCATATGCATGGTGATATAATATGCAGGACCCACACCGGGGAACTGGTGGCTGCAGCTGGGGTCGGGCCCGCTGGTGGGGTACTGGCCGTCGCTGCTGTTCACGCACCTGGGCGGGCACGCCAACATGGTGCAGTTCGGCGGCGAGGTGGTGAACTCGCGCCCGTCGGGGTCGCACACGTCCACGCAGATGGGGAGCGGCCACTTCCCCCGCGAGGGCTTCAACCACGCCGCCTACTTCCGCAACGTGCAGGTGGTGGACGGCGACAACAGCCTCGTCCCCGCCGCCGCGCTCCGCCTCGTCGCCGACCACCCGGGCTGCTACGACATCCAGGGCAACTACAACCGCGCCTGGGGCAACTACTTTACTACGGAGGGCCCGGCAGGAATGTGCACTGTCCGTGATCGATCCATAGCCGGCGACCATGCATCATGCATGGCATGCTGAACTGATGAAGAAGAAAGCAGATACGTGCACAGATACATACAGAGATCACCGTGCGGCCGTGCCGGAGGATCTAGTTGGATCGTCGCTCATCAACCGGACATGGATCGTATAGCAACGGTGTTAGTTATAGCTAGGTCTATTAATTAGTCCCTCTCGTTGGTTACTGCATGCTAACGAGTTTTGAGCCCAGCTGCGTACACGCGCGACCGGGCCGGTAGCAGAGGCAAAAGGTTTCGATTTGATGTATGTGATGAGGCTTTCCTTTCGTTTGGTCTGATTTTTTTTTCTTGAGTTATGTATACATCAAGAAATCCACATAGAGTGTTTTGATCACCATGTGTGTATAGTACGATCATGCATCTAGTGTTTTTCCTTCCCATTTTTTAACTACTATACTCCTTTATGATGAGTAAGTAATGAAGACAGTCCTTATAGTTATGGTGAGTAAGCGTTTGTTTGGATACAATGGCTAATTGTAGATCAGGAAACTGTTCAACATATATTCTTTGAGTGCCTAACAGCTAAGTACATGTGGAGATTGTTAACATACTCCTTAGGAGCTGAGTGTAGGCCTGGTAACATGAATCAATACTGGATTTGGATTAGCAATATTCTCCCCCAATGTCCTCTAATGCATGCAGTCAGTCTGGCTACAGTGTGTTGGGCGATCTGGAGAACGAGAAATATTGTGTGTTTCGATGATCGAAGAGTGAAATCTCCTACTGAGATTATGTGTATGATTTGCTCTTTTCTCACATACTAGGCAGGCTTGTTGAAGGAGGACTTGAAGCAGCAGGTGATCCAGGGAGCGGAAACGCTGAAGACGGCGGCACTCTTCTTCCACAAGTAGGATGTTCAAAGGCAGACTCAAGATGAACGCCAGCTGATTCCATTTGTTGGATGATTGTAGGCTTTGTGATGGAAGACTGTCGGCTTCGTGATGGAATTCTGTCTGCCGTGATCAACGTTGTCTGGAGCAGTTTTGTTTAAGTCTAAACTGGAGAATGTTTGGTGTAATGTCCTTGGTGGAGACCCCTGTTGCGGAGCGGGGTTGTTTTGGTTTGGCACTTTATAGCCTAGCTTCTGGGAGTTTTTGGTAGTTTGGTCCAGGCATTTGTTCCCTCTGTGATCATTTGCCTGGATCAGTTTATATTCTAGCGTTTGTCTTTACTTTCATAGTGTATGAAACTGTGAACTCGATGTAATTTCGTTGCTTTGGTAATGAAATTTGGTCTTACCATTGTGGAAAATGGCTAATTGTAGATTTTTTAGTCAATCTTTAACTAGTTGTTAGCCAACTTTAACTAATTTTGGCTAAATTTTAGCTCAACTAGTAACCGGCCCTGGTAATAATACAAACAGGTCCTGTACCATTCGGTCCACAGAGTATCTGTCACCGGAGAAGCTCTAGAGCCAAGAGATGGTGCATGTAGTACTAGAAGGAGACGAACACCCGGACATTCATCGACGCATCAGCTGATTCGGTCAGCTCTTATAGCGACAAACGACCGGGGATTGTAGCGGGTGTAAAAACGAATGCAAGCTACCGCCCTCAATTTCAAATTATAAGCCATTTTGATTTTTTATACGATACGGTAGTTTTGATATTTCTAAATACATAAATTTTATTACATTTAGATAATTTATATATAGGTCGTTTTGCATCTAAACTACCAAGGTTTGCTATTATAAAAAATATTTAGATAACCATAAATTATATATTTCTAAATTATCAACTTTTATTAATTTTAGTATACTAAAAGTTTTTGAATTGAACATACATGTTGGTTATCGTGCAAATAAAATCTCATGCATGACAACCAGTGGCGGAGCTACCCCGGCATACCCTGCAATTCTGGCTAGCGAGCATGTATATATACGTATATTTCTTAAAAAAAAGAAAACAATACTTACCTGCGATACCTGAGAGCCGAATGTGGAGAGGCAGCCCGCGAACCAGCGTCAGAGAAAGGACCACGCGGCCCATGTAGCCAGCGACGGGACCACGAGAGACGGTACAGCGCCTTGGCTTCTATCGACTATTGCGCCGCGCCGCAAGTACGAGTACCACTCGATCGAGGCATCGCCGTGTCGCCGTATAGGTACGTTCGACGGTTCATCTTCAGATCTTCACCGCTCAACAGCATACGCATACCAGATCGGAAATCGCCAATACGAAGCACGAGCATCCAGTCATCGTCGTCCCTAGTTCCTACGACCACAACGCTCCCAGATCCTCAAACTGACCACACCGCCGGTGGCGGCGGCGGCGCGCGGAGGCTTACGCGCAATTTGTGATCAGAATTAAGGTGAGATTCAATATCTTTGCTTATCGATTTCCCGTAAAAAATTGATGTCTACTTTAATTGCTATTTGCTAAGCACTAACATCGTAAAATCATCTATCACTCAGCGAGGTCGAGGGTTTGTCCCAGAGTCTATCATTAGTGAAAACAAAGTTACGAAATAAGATGGTAGATAAACTTTTGGATGATTGCTATTTTCATTGAGCGGGATTTTTTTTTGAAGTCGATTGAGATATATAATCAATATATTTATGTCCCTTCGAAAGCGTCGAATAAAATAGGCGTAAGTCTCCAGTACTCTTTTATGCCCATATTTCAATTATCGGTATGGCTTTTGAACTATTTATATTGTACTTAATCCATGAATTTAAGCCTTATTGTGTTACTTAGTGCATATATACTGAATCACCTATCAATTTTACAGTTATTACCAAAATGCTAAAATGGATTTACCGAATTGTATATGGAATTTTTTGGGTGGCATACCCTTACCTAAAATCCTAGATTCGCCGCTGATGACAACATGAGAGATAAATATACATGCTGTTTCAGAAATCATGAAAAATATTCTCTGATCTCTTTACAACTCATATACAAATGATAGTACTAAATTACTTCAAATTATTATTAAAGTATCCATGACATATAAATATGTAAATTGTTACTGAGATAAATTTATAATTTTAATTTTAACCAAAATAAAATTGGCATATTATCTATCTACATTTGTAGAAACTAGGTCTGGGGAAGTTCGTGGACATTCTTTGTTACGGGTGACTACATACATGGGCCTCTTTGGGCCTGGGCCACTAACACGTACAGCACAACAATATTGATACTTGATGATAGTATAACCCCAAATCCACTTTCGCGGACGTTCACTCAAAACCAAACCAGCGAGTCATGATCCTAGTATTGTATAAATAAAACAATAATAAGTAAACTTTCTCCAGATCAGCCTGCTCTGCCTGCCACGTACGCCAGCGAATGGAAGCGGCGAGAAATTTCCTTCCTGATTTACTAAAGTCTATTGTCAGCGACGACTCCGATAGACATTTAATAGTCAACTTTGGACAACGTTTTTCATTGGCTAAATAGAAAAAAGGAGCTAGTGCTCGGCGGTTATCCAGTGGCATCTTTTATTTGCTACTGGGAATCAACTAGCTTGCTAGCGGAAGGGGAGAGTCGATGAGAGAGACGAGAGAAATGGAGCCATTACTCTCCATTGTTCATCTTGGACACCTCGCTCCTCTTTTTCTCTTTGCCATGGTATTCCACCTGTTCCTACTCCTTGCCGAGACGATCCCGAGCAACGTAAACGCCGGTTCCAGCCTAAAGCCCCCCAACTACATCACCAGCCCATCCGGCGACTTCGCCTTCGGCTTCCGTGCACTTGACTCCGACCCTACCTCCTTCCTCCTAGCAATATGGTTCCAGCTTGATGGTACGGTGGTGTGGTTCGCCGCAGATGCGGACACAGGTTCCGCTGTGGTTGCCACAGGCCAGTCCGTTCTGAGCCTCACCGTCGATGGCCAGCTCTTCCTAGCTAACAGTCCTGGTCCTGGCACGTGGAGCGCTAGCCACCGTCGCTATAAAAAAAATATTTGTAGGGGGCGGCTGATAAGCCTTTGTAGGAGCGGTTTACCAGCCGCCCTACCGAACCGTCTCTACAAATCATACATTTGTAGGGACGGTTCCCAGGCCGTCTCTACAAATCGATTTGTAGGGGCGGCTACAGTATTAGCCGCCCCTACAAATACCGGTTTGTAGAGACGGTTTAATTTAGAACTGCCCCTACAGTACGTTTTTCCGCAAAAAAGGGACTACAAACTACAATTACATGTCCAATTCACAAGAATATATATAATCTATCATTAAAAATACAAATTTCATACACATTGTTATCAATGTCCTAGAGCTAGCCTTTCAGTCTCACGAAGCTGTTGGTACTGAGGATTTATACCTAACTCAGACTCTCGGTCATGGTAGGCGCCTTTGACGTATACAATCTGGTCCAATATGAAGTTGCAAAGGTCGCCGACGAGCTCTAAGAGTTGGTCATCCTTATATGGGTCTCTTTTCATTCCTTTCTCTTCTCTCCACTTCAAGAAAACAAGTTTCGATTTAGTATTTCATACAATATACGAAGTTTTTAAACTACGGGTGAAGAGGTTCAAACTTATCCTTAAGGGGTGTCTCCTGTAGGCACCAATGTTACTCATCATAGAACATATATAGTATCCACAATGTACACTCCCAGGCTTCTAATTGGGGCACTGTGTGTTTTGCATATGAAAATATTAAGTAATATTTTTAACAGTCATGTAACGGAGTACTGAAGAAGTAAGTTACACTTACCGCACATAGTGTTTTTATAGTCAGCTTTTTCTTCCTTGCTGGTTCATGCCTTCCGTGATGATTAGTGACATAGAACCTAAATGCTATGTTCGAATTATTTTAGCAAATACAACTTGTTAGTATCCAAAAGTGAACGTTACAAGTACGTATACAAACATATAAGCTAATGAGGATTGTAGATATGTATACATCTTGAGAATCGATATGAAGTTTTTGTATGTCATCGGGTCTCTATCTATTGAATCAAAGATCCATACCATGCTCCTCCCGACATTGACGGCTATACAAATCCAGTGGTTGCTGCATGGATTTAATCATAGAACTAGATAAGCTCTTT